GGAGTTGAACATCAGGAAACTCATAATTGAAGGGGATTCAGAGGTGGTGATAGGGTGGCTGATTAAAGATAACAATGGCTTATGGAAGTACAACAATGAGAGGAGGAAATTCAAGTGGCTGGTGYGRGAGATGGAAGTTAAGATATGTTGGGTTAAAAGATCGGCTAATTCCCTAGCTGACGGTTTAGCTAAACAAGGGGCAGAAAGGGATTCACTATTTGGGGCTAAGCTGTAACTTTAGTGTTTTTTCCGTTTTTTTCTTTTTTTTCCTTTTCTTGAGGTTCTTTGTTGCTCTTGGAAGATAAGTGTGTTTGTCTTCCTCTTGTAAATCTTCTATTGATGATTTAATGAAAGTGTTATTGATCAAAAAAAAAAAAAAAGAAAGCAGCAGAAATGGTACAGACAGAAAACATGCATGGATCACAGTATATGGTATTACAAGTCCATATACAACATGCTTCCATGGGCACAACTCTAGAAAAATCCATGTTGATGAGGCACTCGGTGCCCCAAGTCAGTTTTTCTTTTTTTCTTTGGAAATGGTACAGACAAAACATGCATGGATCACAGGATATGGTATTACAAGTTCATATACACCATACTTCCATGGGAAGACTGGAAGAACTCTCCAGAAAAATCCATGTTGAGGAGGCACTGGGTGCCCCAAGCTAGCTTTTTTCTTCTTTTCTTTTTTCTCTTCTATATTATATGAATTTTCTTTATGATAACTTAGGAAAAGAATCTCAGTTATAGCTTCTTTTTCTCCTTCCAGCAACGTAAGGGCAACCCTTCAAGTGCCCTCCAGGAGGCTATCTCTGCAAGTTGACTACAGATGGAAATTGTTTTCGTAACAATTTCAGTGTTCTCATTGAAATTATCCTAGCATCTTCCCCATCTAGGTCATTGTAGACCCATCTCAACCAATGAAGCCTGATGCTAAATGAAAACAACTTCCAACATAATAAAGGAATACAAACATCAAGGTAAAAACATAAAAGAGAGAACTTTCACGTTGTTGAAAGAGAGAACAAAATACACCATCAAATGTTGTGGATGCTTTTACAGCTGCTAACAGCAGTAGTGATGGACAGCAGCAGTAATGGGCGATTAACTCAGTGTTCTCATCTTATCTAATTCAGTGT